AAATCAAATTGATCAAATTGATCAAGTTTTACCAAAATATAAAGAAAAGTCAAAGCGATATATTGATATAAAAAAAAATAGATTTTCCATAAAATGGGTTTTGTGCGCAGTCACGCGACTTTTTTCTATTCTAAATTCAATTGAAATAGCAGGTTTCACAATATAAAAAAGATTGACAATCGATTTTGTCACAAGTGATAAAACGAATGTCCACTATGCTCTTTTACTATCTACCAATACCTCAAATTTAACTAAACCCAAATGGGTATAATCTTCTGGAAAAAATTTTGTGCCAGGAATGGGATGATCCAATTCTATTATCTGGTGTGCTAAAATAACACAAAGGAGAGGCTTAAATTCATTTGCTTTAGTTAACCAGTAATTGTAACGATCCTCTAGCTGTGTATGTATATTATTCATCAAATCCAAAAAATTATAATTGTCAATGTCTCTGTTATGTAGTGAATTTTGTAATACTTCTAAGGCACACCCATATCATTAACTAGTATATCAATAATAGGATGATCTGGAAAAACGTTTGAGGTATCTTATTGATTAAATATGTTGGAGGTGACAAAGAAACAGTAGGAAGAAAACCCTGTTTTTGAGTAGAACTAGCCAAGTATTGTTCAATTGGATGATGAGTGGTTGCTATACATGTACCAATGATAAAAAGTCCTGATCATGATTGTACCAGATTTGAAATTGTAATTAAATAAGAATATAATAAAGATGTTTTATTTAATCCATCACCATCTCTTGTCTTGGCTACTTGCATACCATCTACAGTAATAAATATTGCTAAATCCTCTAATATTTTAACTGATCCAATTTTGTATGATTTTTTAAATACATTCCAATTCCCATGCCAATTAGGTAAAAGTTGAAATAACATCCTAGTTCCTATTCCTATATCAGGATCTTTCTCATCATTTATGTCTAATGCTGTGCCATTCTCAAAAGAAATATTAAAAACTAATGCACTTTTCAATTGTTCTTGTAATGCTGAATGATTGACAGCACAATCTTTTGCAAGTTGTAGTAGTTCTGTTGCTATTCTGGATTTACCTCTTTCTGATATAAAGTTTTCATAATGATTTAATAATGCATCTTTAAATGTGCTCATCAATTCATCAGATCTTTGAAATTGCCATGACAATCCTTCAATTTTTAATAATGGTTCAGGTTCTAAATATTTTAGATCATTAGGTAGTTCACCTGATAAGAATATATCATTGACAAAAAGCAAAATGGACAAAAGGGATGATTAATTTTTAAAAAAAAAATTTTTTTTACGATAAATTATTTTTATTTTGATTCAACTAATAATAGAAAAAGAAAAATACATAAATAATTTATAAAAATATAAAGTTAAATAATTTTCAGAGTACTTGCATGAGAGGAAAATACTCAAACCCAAAGTCATTTTTATAAGTATTATCTATTCTTTAGGCACTCTGACAAAAATTCAACTTTCACTATTACTACTGCTATTATTATCATTGTTTTTATTATCTTCTTTGACTACATTCTCCATCTCTTTCTTCTTTCCCTTTTCAACCCATTGCTGAATCACTTCTAGAGTTTTTCTTCTAGGATTTGCTTTTCATTGGTAAAAGTTTTTTATTGCAGAAGCAGTAATTCCCTTTCCTTCTTCAAGTAATTGACGAATTTCAGTGGCCATTTATTAAATGAAAATTCGGGATTCAACCAGTCTTTTTGTCAAACAATTGTTTGAAATCATTCCATAGGTTTTCAATTACATGTGAATATTTTTTATCGCCAGTAAGTTGGTTTATTTTATTTTTGAAATGGTTTTTTCTTGGTTCCATTTTATCAATTATTTGATCAATTTTTGAGAAAGTTGATTTTTCGTAAATTTTATAAGTAAAAAACCAAGCAAGAGCTCAATTAACAATTTGCAAACAAGTTCATAGTTGAAAGTAAGCACTTGTTAAATGTTATTGTGAATGAAAAATATTGTAAATATTTATTTTTTAAATTGTTTAACAGTAATTATTTGGAGTTGTTATTTGAATTTTTTTATCTAAATCAGCAATGTTTTATAATAAGGCGGGATTATTTCAATGCGAATGAGAGAAAAACAAAAATTTATTCTTGAATGTAAAATTTGTTCAAACAACAATGTTTTTTTACTGATAAGCAATGCAATTTGATGATTGTTAATTACATTTATATAAAGGAGAATTTTCTTTATCAGTAAAAAAATAAATCAATATTGTAATAATAAGAATTATTTCTCTTCTAAGTATTTTTGCTTTTTGTTGGGTAGTACACCTTCATTTTGTTTTCTTTTTCTAAGATTTATTATTTTTCTTTCTTCTTGGTAAACCTCATAGGTAATCCTTTCTTTTCTTAGATAAGCTTCCAGCGTCTGAGTATCAATTATTTTGAAAATATAAGGAGCAATTTTTTCACCTTCAGAATACTTCTAATGGTGCTGTGATTTTTGGGATCTGATATAAATGAGTTTCATATTAACTATTTTTATCTAGAGATAATCCTAAAGCAGATAATATCATTATTGATCCCTAAAATTCCAAATTGTATTATTATGTGGAAAATAAAAATCATTTTAGATAATCAAATTTTAGTCAAGCTATAGAAAAATTTTTTATTCAACTGCAGTTAACTGGGTTTTGATTGAACAGTGGTTGGGCTGAACTGCTCCCATTCCTACATAAATGTATGAATTATCATATGGTTTAATTGATGACATAATGCAACATATTGAACATACCTTAGTAAGCAGCATGTTGTATATCGTTGTAATTAGTTCATCTACATCAGCCAAACTTGATGGAACTTTTTGTGGTAGGATACCTGCAAAACCTACAAACACTGCCTGAAGGTATATCTATTACTAAATGCTGATGTTGAGGAACTGGAAAAATAATGGAAATAAATACTCAGTTTAATAAAAGATTCATATATGATACAAAGATACATTACCAGAATGAAGGGATCATAGAACCTCCAGATGATGTGTCTTGACAAAGCCTAATGTATTTTTTGCAGCATCACTTTAGGTAACTTGATAGATCCATCTGCTAAATATTTCGTCCCATTCACCATTCCATTCTTTCCTTCCCCACTCACAGCATGCTCATTAGGTTCATCTTTTTTGTGAAGAATTACATCACATTTTCTATCCATTTTCTTTTTTTTTTTTGGCATTCATCATTTGTCCCAATTCAAGAGAATGACCTTCTCCCCTAAAAGAGAATTTTCATATATCTAATAGGCTGCAAAATCAATAATTTACAAAATGTATACATGCAGCCCAAACTATTATTATTATGACTTTGACATGTTGTAATATCATAATATCAAATTTCCATAAGTTGTAATGTCATAATAATGTTGTAATGTATATTGGGTCACATGTTGCAATATGATTGGATAGCACTTCAATAAAATTGTTCTAATGACTATAGACTATGAACTATCTACTATTGGCTATATAGTAACTAACTACTTAAACTAATTAATTAAATAATTAATTACCATGTTGGTAGAGGCAGATAATTCATTTCTGTAACACAAACTAATTCTTTTTAATAAAAACACTTTTGTAGTCAGAAATTAAACAGTAGGGTTTAATTGTTCATTTGGTTATTAAAGTGGTATAGAACTATAGTTCTATTCTAATACAAATTTTTATTCAAATTATTTGAATAAATTTTCAATGTAATTTGAATACTCAAATTCATAATGAATAAAACAAATAATTTGAATAAACCTTAAACCCTATATAAAACTCAGGTTTTGTAACTTGGTTTGGTTATTTAATTTGGTAGAAAGCAAAGGTTTAATGTTTGATTTTTGTTAAGCACAAACATTTTTGCTTTTGTAAAAGAATTTAAGTGTTTTTGTGTAAACGTAAGGTGTTAAGATTGTTCAACCAGATATAAAGTGCTGACATTCATTAACCAAAGTCATCATCACATATCACTTTGTTGTTGTATTGTGTTAAAGTATTTTGTAAATGTACAGCTCTGAATTTAATCGGCCAAAGAAAAGTAAAAGTAAATAAACAAGGAACTTCACTAAAGCATTCATTACTTTATAATATGGCTATGTTTTATTTGTCGTTAATTGTACCATAAAAGTGTGCTTACAGATTCATCAAAGCTTTCTAGGTACAAGAAAAAGACAGAATTTCGTAAAACAAATAAATTAATATAAAAGCTTGCGATTAATCAACAATTGTAGCTCAAAAGTTAATCCAAACTCGGCCATACATATTTTGGAAGTCATATGACCATCTATTTAAATAACATTTTTTTTCGAATTTCTTTTAGGATTATTACATTTGGCCTATATTATAACAATACAACCATTATGACATTACAGCTATCACTCAGATGCCTTAATATTATGACATTCACAAATCAATTTGGGCTTGTTATCACTAATGAGTTTGTTTGGTTTATTTTTGAATTGTTCTATTTTATTGATTTTTTTGATTTTTAATATAGAGTTGATTTTTGTGAGCTTAATAATGAAGCAGGAAACCAAAAAAGAGTTCATCCGCAAAAAGTTCGATATTGAAAGTAGGCTTTTTTTTTAATTGTTGTTGATTAAAAAATAAACAATGATTATTGAATTGGATTTTTTTTGCCCGAGAATGAATGGGTGGATTGATGTTTTATAATATTCGAACACAAGACATTTACCTTGTTTTGATGCAATAAAATAAAATAATGACAAGAAAATTAATAATGATGGCAACTAATGAGAGCAAAGGAAATGGTAAGTCAACTTCAAAATTGAAAAAGTAAGAATACTCTTTTTTGATAATAACATTGATGTTGAACATCTGACAAAACTTCAGAAAAGACAATGAATAAATATAAAACATACTTTTAGTTGCTTTAATATTACTTTTACTATAATGGATGAGAAGTTTATTAATAAAAAAAAACATAAGCTATTTTAATTATTTCTTGACCTACTGTCTCGTGTACAAAATTTTGTCCAGAATTCTTTTTAGATAACTATTGTGGATGAACTAAACAATAATGGCTGATAAAGGTTTCTATTTATGAGAAGATTTTCGGTAGATGCTTTTAAAAATTTTTAAAGTCGATTTAAAACCAGTTTTAACTCTTGTATATATTTACGGCACGACATTATTTAATTATTATAAAATTCCTAAAAAAAAAATATAAGATTATCTAAAAATTTTATGTTTCACTAATTAATGTATGACATTTAATTTTGTATTACTTAGATAAATCATCGGGTAAAGATAAAAAAAGAGCATAAAGTTTAAATTTTAAAGTTGAAAGTTTATAGATTGTTTATTTTGATAATAGTTTATTTTGATAGTAGTTTATTTTGATAGTAGTTTATTTTGATAGTAGTTTATTTTGATAGTAGTTTATTTTGAATAGTAGTTTATTTTGAATAGTAGTTTATTTTGAATAGTAGTTTATTTTGAATAGTT